CGTGACGCGGTGGTGGGGGGGCTGCATGGTATTGGCATGGCGGCTCTTCCCACCCACCCTGCTCCTGCACCCCCTGGATCCGCTCCTTGCCCAGCCCCCCGTCCCGAGGGTCCCGCTGTGTGCCATCGCTCCCTGGCCGGCTTCTTCGCCCCTGCAGCTTAAGACCCTGCGGGGGCTGCTGCTCTGCCCCCGGTCCTGGCACAGCCCCTGACCCTGCACCCCTTGCTGCGGGTGCCCACAGCAAGGGCCCGAGGCCTCCCTGGGTCAGAGCACTAGGGGCAGCTGAGGGGCCCCGGAAAAGGCCCTGGGGCATGTGTATGTATGCGTGCAAGCATGTGTATGTGTGTGTGCATGCGTGTGCAATGCTGTGTGGTGCAGCTACGCTCTAGCAGTGCCCAGCTCCCAGGCCGGGCTCCGATGACCTTAGGTCGGGGGCAGCTTGAAGAGACGGCTGCAGCCCCCAGGATCCACCCCACTGCGGGAGCTGTGCCCGCCTGTCCTGGGTGGGCAGGGGAGGCAGCTCTGCTGGGAGCAGGAACCCTTTCCACCTCTGCCACTGACGGGCTGGGTGACCCTGAACCTGACACTTAACCCAGGGATTGGGGGGACCAGGTGTGTGGCTGACAGTAGGGAGGACCCAGGCACAGAGGCGGGAGCCAGTGCCTCAAGCCCAGGGGCAGCGGATCCCAGTGGCACCCCGCACCGCGGTCATTCAACCCCCTCCAGTACTGAGCACAGCCTGAAACGTCCTTGCTGCCTGTGCTGGGCTTTACCCCATCCAGGCCCTGCAGCCCTAGAGATTTCAGGAGGTCCGAGTCTCCGGGGGCCATGGGTGGTCACATCCACCCCGGACAGCTCGCCCGGCCCAGGGACCCTGCGGCTGCCAGTGTGCACATCGCGGTGCCCCTGCCCAGCTGCGGCTGCTATCTCGCCCGTGCGTTCTGGGAGAAGTCACTTCTGGCACATCCAGCCCATGCTGCCTGCTGAAGGCAAAGGCAGGGGGGGATTCAGAGGTGTCCAGGGGATTTAGGGGCCTCCGAGACCTGCAAGGCTGCAGTGACAGGCAGGACTGAGCAGATCTCAGAGCAGGTGCTGGAGATACAGCGCCGGTGTGACCCCAAACAACCCCAGCTCCTGCCCCAGCCTGGAGAAGGGGGTTCCCATGTAAGCAGCATCCGGGCTTGCCCCCTGGGACCCCCTGTCCTCACCCGGACTCCTGGGTCTGGCTCCCCTATTTTCCTGTTGGCAGGTAGAGGGAAACCGGCTTCCCCATGTGGGCATGGACTCCAGGTGCCCCCTGACCCCGCTTTGTGTGGTCCTGTGCCCTCTGCCTCCCCACTATCCCCAGGGCTGACTCTCTGCTCTCCTCTCTCTTGCCCTGGAGTTGCATGCTGCTCCCAGGGGTGGAGCTGGGGGGGAGCTCTGGGTAGCTGAGATGCAGCCCGCAGACACTGGAAACAGGACCTTGGTTCCCTAATCCAGGAGAGAGAGAGGGAGGAGGGGGCAGTTGGCTTGATTTCCCCCCCGCTCCCCGAGCCTGGGTGGAAGCAGATGGCCCGCTCGCTCTCCGCCGCCTTGCTGCATCCATCCCCTTTGTTCCCTGCTCTTTGCGCCGGGGCTGCCCCCGTTCCCGGCCCGGAGGGTGCGGGGAGGCGGGCGTGCATGTGTACACGTGCAAGAGGGAGGGGGGGCCTGGGCCTGACACGGCCCCCACCTCCCCGGGCTGCGTCACCTCATTCTGTGTCTCCCAGCGCCACCGTGACATTGACCTAATTTGCGCCGGCTGCTGCAGGGCGCAGGTGCCGGGAGGCTGGGCTCAGGGCTTGCTGAGGCTGCAGCGTTGCGGGGGTCTGGTCCCTGCTAAAGGGGGCATGCCCCTGGCTGCTGCAGTGGGCAGGGCTGCCCCTCCTGCCCCAGGGGAGTGGGTGCAGCCCCCCACCAGCCAGCGGGTCCCTACAGGGGTGAGTGGAGAAAGCCTTGCATGATCCCTGCCTGCCATAGCACCTGAAGGACGGAGGCAGGCTAGGTCTGCTGCCATGGGGCCTGGCAGTGCCTCGGTTTCCCTGTGGGATGTCCCCCGGAGACTCACTCTAATTAAAGCCCCCAGGGGCAAGGCAGGAGGCTGGGGGACGGAGCTGGGACTTTGCATAGGCTGCAGGAGCTGGGAGTGAGCTCTTGGTCTGAGCTGTGTCCCCCCTGGGTAAGGGGACCCCTGCCCTCTCCTTTGGCATCCAATTCCCCCACTGCAAGGAGAGGGGATTCCTTGTGCTCCTGGCTGGCAGCAAGTTGGAGTGGGGAGAGGGAACAAGGGGGGCTGGAGCCTGCCTGGCTCCTGCCACATGGAGGTTGCTCAGGGCATGGATCCCTGCTGCTCCCCCTCCTGGGGGAGGGCAGGGGTAGGAGGCCTTCCACCCCATCCCTCCACCACCCCAGCCCTCCATGATCCATCTCTGCCTGCCAGCAACCAGGACCCTGGCGGGGTGGAGCCCAGTGAAGCCAGGCCCTGGGAGACGCAGCTGTGGGACAGGGAAAGCAGCGGGCCAAGGGCCGGAGGGGGCTGGACACGGTGGGCTCAGGGCTGGTGTGATAACTGGGGGCATGGTAAGTGCTGCATAAATGGAGCCTACCCAGCCAGTGCCAAGGTGCAACTGCTTCTGGGGTGGAACAAAGCAGCAGCTTATGCAGGGATCCCAGCCCTATGCTTCCAGCCCTGTCCCAGCATCCTCTACCCCACCCTGCAGATATCTCCCAGTTGCTCCTATCCAGCTCGTGCCACTGCCCAGGTGGCTGGTGGAGTGGGCCGGTCTCCTCGAGCTGTGGTCCCACAGCAGTTCCAGCTGCCCTGGGCAGCTGCCTGTAGCTCCCTGGTTCCCTGCAGGTGGGTCCAGCCCTGCCCCATGGCCCCGGGCTGCTCTGGTCCCTGGGTCAGGGACTCAGAGCCACAGCTCCCAGCTGGGGGTTGGAAATGGGATCGCGCAGCCTGGGGGCAGAGCAGGGGTCTGGTCTTGTCTGGGTGCTATCCTATTTGGGCAGAACCGGCCCCAGGGTGGAAAACCGGGCGGCTTCTCCCCAGCGCTGCTCAGAGACGTGCAGCACAGAGCGTTGGTTTTTACAGCTTCTGCTGGAGCAGGGCCTAGCCCGGCCTGGCCCCCACCACAGCGCTGCGCCCCAGAGCCAGCTGCAAGCTGGGACCAGGTCGCTTCCTCCTTCCTGACATCCCCACAGCCAAAATTGGCTCCATCGCCTTTTTTTCCCAGGGGCTGCCATCCAGGCCGGCTGTGTGGGGGCAGCAGGACTGGGAGGGGGCAGGAGCACAGGCGCAAGCACCAGAGTGGGGGGCATCCCCACCATACCGCTCCCAACCCCAGAGAGGAGCAGGAGGTTTAGGCACCGTGGCAGGCGGGAGGGAGCAGGCACGTGCCCACGACTGCCTTTGTCGGGAGAATCCAGGTCACCAGGTCCACGGGGCCACTGCTGCTTCCGGAGCTGCATCCTGTCCTCGCCGGGGGATTTCTCCTGGCCTGCAGTGCCGCCCCCCGGCTGTTGTGGGGGGAGCTGGGAGCTAGAAGCGCCTCAGACAGCAGGGGCTTAGGATACCTAGCTTCTCTCTGCCTGGCTCTCCCAGCTCTGGAGCCACAGGCTCCTGGCACAGGGTCTTGGTTTTGCTTTGGGAGCTGCCCAAGTTGGCCCCGATCCGCTCCGGGGCCGCTGGAAGGCAAACAGCCAGGAGAGAAGGACTCAGTCTCCACAGATGCCTCCAGAGGGACCCCCTCCTCCCCCCCCCTTCAAAAGGGGCCG